TTTGTTTATTTTCTGTGCAGATACATTTTGTTCCTATTTAATTCTTTCTTTCGTGATTGGAAGACGATTATTAAAAATACAGCTGTAAATTGAAACCACTGGAGTTGCGTATCGTGAGCAATAAGTGGCAACAATGTCGGGCGACGATGAATTTAGGCGATTGACACATTGCCATGAATACACTTGATAACTGCTTGCAGACTTCCAGTGGTCATTGTTTATGTTTGGACTCTTGAAACAATAGCAAAATAAAGGGTTGGGCAACTACTCTTTTGTTTAGGCTTGGGAAGAACAATGCAAGCTTTTTACAAATAATTTCAGCTGGATGTACGTTGGTGGGCGGGTGTTGAGAGTTACAAGGCGGTCGTAAAATTTGTGGAGAACACTGGTTTGTCAAATACAGAATACATATATTTTATAACAATTTTCTTTTTAAAATGTGGATGAAATGTTTTGCTTTTTATGTATTTTTTATGTATTGTTTTTGATTTGATAACTTTGAACTAAACAGATTTTCTATTAGCTTCAGATCTTGATCAAAGTTTGGCACCCAGTTCATAGGAGTGCATATATTGATTTTCTGACATCTTGTTTTCTGTAAAGATTTTATTGGTAGGTTTGCAAATGTGTATCAGACTGTGCAATCTCTCCATGAGTTGGTTTTGAAACCCAGTATGGGATTCTGGTATACATTACCAAGGATATTATTACAAGATAAATCATTTGCTTCATTGAACACATACGACAATGCATATTTCCACTGAGATCAGTGACCTTTGATGTGTATCACCAGTGATCAGTCAAGTAGAAACAGTCAAAATATTTTATCAGATTTTCTCAATTTTTGCATGATAATTTTCATACAGGACATCTGTTGTTCAAACTCAGGGAAGACATTATACTGATGAATAAGGTGACCAAGTTTGATGAAGTTTGGAATAGAATTAGTAAAGTTATTATGCACACAATAACAATTATTAACAACGACAACGACAACAACAACGACGACAACAACGCCGGACAAAATCTTTCCCTTAATATACCTTTCCCTTCCATCTTTGATGGTACG